AACGAAAATGAAAATTTGCTTGATAATTCAACTACGCTTGTTGGAGAACAATAAAAACACTACACTCAACAAGCCACCAATAAAACTCAACTGCCTAACCTATAACCAAAGTCTCCTTTCAATTTGTTTTTTAAAAAAAGCGCTTGACAAACTTGCCCCGCATGCCGAAGTTGCCCCGATCTCCCCTAATCATCCGAAAGTATCAGCATGGCAGATTGCCCTATGTTGTTATCGCGAAGCAGTCATTAATACGAGGCATATTGCAAAAAAAAGTGGTTCTGAATTGGGCTGTCCAGTTTCACGAAATCTACGAAAAGCACACCTTTTTGGTCCCAGAACACGTTGCCATAATCATTCGAGCAGATCGACTTTGTTTGAACCTTTTTGCTTTTGTTGAATTTGAATAACGGATTGTTGTTTGGATTCGACATTGGTATAACAAATCCAAGTTTCGTTACACCAGTCACAATATGGGAAATAATTCGTCTCCCTCTTTTTCTGGCCCAAAAATGCGCGTGTAGATGTCATTCTGTGGTTTTTGTGAGCGTCTGCCAGCATTTTCGGTACTCGTCTTGCACAGTTTATGATAATCTAAAGTTTCAGTAACAATTCGGAGAAATGTTGTTCGTTAACGTCTGGAAAACCTTTAGCAACAAAACTAATTGTAAAAAGAAAAAAAAAGAACTCAAATTTTATCGAAGTTTTATCAAATTTTATATATTTTTAATATAATTTTTGTAATTGTAAAGCACGATTTTTCTTGATCTTTGGAATTCGAATACTCAATAAGGTTGCCGATCTCAGACCTATCATTCCTATCTTCATCGTGAACATTTTTAAACTCGTCACACTATTAATGGTAAAGCATTTCGTCCTATAGTTTATTTTTTCAAATGTACAGTACATAACAATGTGGTTATATTTTATTAAAGGACAATCACACCACAAGTCGTAGATTGACACATTGATATCTTTTGCTCTATATTTATTTTTTCTCAAAAATGTACTGTACATTTCAGACTTAGTATTTTCCCACTATGTCACATTATAAACGAAATAAAATACATTAATTTAAATATATATATGTTTTAATCACATAGAGAAATTATTCATTTCAAGAAGACCCTTGCCATATATGAAAGCGCTAGCACATCTCGTAATACACGTTTGTTTCAGAATCTGTCTAGGTTTTCTGGTGACTTCTTAAAATGGTGTCCGTAGATGTTGAAATAGGCATATATTTCAGAATTTGTCTAATGAAATTAGGCATTTCTAACGACTTATAACTCACGACGTGAAACAAAACAGTCGTGTGTTTCCATACTTTGTAACATGCAGATTTCGGGATAAGTGTTTTTGATAGCAATGTTTACATATTTTAAATTTTTATATATTTTTTTTCGTTTTTGACTCTCCGACCTATGGAAACTAAGAAAGCCCATTTTATTCCATGCCTATTTAAATTTATTCATGTCTACAATTGGTCCGACATATCCGAGACAAACCACTCAAAAAAGTTTCTCAGATTGGGCGAGCCAATAATTATAAATTATTAAGCTATCTCTTTCGCTAAACTATGAGAGACGACTAAATATTGTTCCTTCTATATAGAGTGTAAAATTAAAAACAACATGTTCAAATTGAATGTTATCAGCAATTATTAAAGCTATAAATACCTTTATGATATTGCTTATCTTAATTATCTTCTTCTCTTTATAGACTTAGTTTATACATAAATTATCCGAGAAATAATCTTCCCGAAAGCCTTTTCAAACAGTTGCATTATATTGCAAAAATTTCAATACAAAGATATCTTGTGAAATTGTGTACCGCTTCCTTTTAGAACCTTTCTTTGTAAAGATATTACTTTGACAATAAAGAGTAGACTATTATTTATTATAATTAAAAATCTTAGATATATTATATCAATTGAGTAACATGTTTCCATAGCGAAATACATTATATAACGCACAGAATAAGTAAAAAAGACCATAAGAAAGACTTTAATTTCACTTATTATTCCAACCCACCAGTGGCCGAGTGGAGAAAACCATCGAACACTGTTAAATAATCGCGGGTTCGTCCCCTACTGCTTACAGTTTTCGAGTTTCTTCACGTGTCAAATATCTAAATGGGGGTCCTGCTTCTCGTAGAAAGTGCTTCCGGGAAGCATCCCCATTGGCACATTTTGAATTTTTTGTACGTTGTAACAAAGTATTTCCAGTTAAAAAGGTTTTTAAATAATTACACTTCGAAGAAAACTGTTTGCATTATGAGAAAAAAAAAAAACATTCAAATTTGTTATCCGAATGATCTTCGTCACTGTCTTAATCAGATATTACAAGCAAAATATTTGAATAATTCGACTTTCGGATCACCATTGTAATTTTATTAACTTTATAATCTAACAAGTAAGTCTGTCTGTAATACTTCTCAGAATTATCTAATTATACGTGAAAGTCTATCTCTCTTACGAAAACTTTATATCAGAATATTGTGGGAAGACAGATAAGCATTCAGATGTTATTATATCAATTTTGTTTTAAAAAAAATGTATTATGATAACATATTTGATGAGAAATAATGCATAAATTTAAGAAAGAAATATGTTATAAATTAAAATATATAATTTTAAAAAATGCATGGACTTGAATCTGTGCGAATTCAGAGGCGTAGCAAAAGGGAACAGAGAGAAACACAGGCTCTAGACAGTAATAAACAACAGATTATTTTAAAATGTTACCTACGAAAGGTTAAGTATTATACTAATGTTAACATTGAAGATGTTAACAACCATTTTATTTAGTGCACGCTAACAAAACATTCAAGAATACACGTGTATTGATACCAAACACTGAAGCTCATCAGTGGCTATTGAGTACAATTTGTCGAGAGTTCGCACCACTACAAAGGGCTAGTCACATTAGTTTATCAGATTTTCTTCACGTTTGTAACATCTGAATAGGGGTCGGTTTTCCATACAAAGTCTTTCCAGGAAGCAGAACCCGCGAGTTTCATTGCCCTGTTCAAACACCGAACACAAACAAAACAACACTGAAAATCATATTCGACTTCTCGTAATTTGTTACAGTTTCATGTCAAAGTGTAATGCTCTCTCAATCACACTTGAGAATCCTATTTATTCCCATTGAGGACCTGGCCCATAAGATGGCGAAAAATTTTTAAAAATAGATATTTGAAAATAAAATTTATCGAAATAAATTAAATTTTAAACAGTTTCTCCTGACGTACACAATAATAATATAAATCACAGACATTACAAATTTCGTAACAATAAATATTGTGACCGAATATGAATCTGACAGGGTAAATGGCGTTATCGGATAAATTCATTTGAAATTTTCATGTGACGAAACGTGCGTATGTATACTATTTCAGAATATTGAACTTTGTAACCTGATAATGTAACAAAATGTAAGAGCTTGCCTTTATAATCACATTCGACTGGACAAGCCGGGTAAGACGTTGTCATTAGAAAAGATTTTGTAAAACGTTGCAAAAATTAATATTTGAATACTTTTTTTAGATAAAAGTTAAATATGAAAACACTTTGCTTTTTGGCTCTCTTCGTTTTTGCTGTTAGAGGTAAGTGACTTTTTATTATAATACAGTCGAATTTCGTTTATACATTTCTCAGTTGTACGTTTTTGCAATTGTATTTTAAAGGTTTTCTGCACAGTGCTCCATTACAAGACACTCGAGTTATACGTTTTTCGCGAAAATTTTTCGCGAGTAGCGAAAAATATAGTGTATAAGTTCGAAATGCTATAAAGCATTTCGAACTTATACACTATATTTTTCGCTACTCTATAGCATTTTTTTCCCTCACTTTGATGTGGAAACATTTAAAGCAATTATTAAAAAACTGAACAAGCCAATTATCTATTCATTTTAGCTTAGTCCGATGAACGATTTGCCAAGGAGGGGTGCGTATCGGGAGGATCTTTAATGGAAACTGGCTCCTATTTAGCAGAAGTTGCGGGTTATATTCCTGTTCGGGGAGGATCTTTATCTCCAGGATATTCTAAAATTAAATTATTTATTTATAATTATTTTATTTAACAACAGATGGAGGACTGTGTCAAATTGCTTAATAATTATTTTGTTTATGATCCTATAAAGAAGCCGGTTGTTCGTTTGTCACTCGCATAATAATGTAAACATTTTAAAATTCATTAAATAAATATATTTTATGAAGTTCCTTTACGTTGAACTTGTTGTAATGGGCCAGTATTATCTGACTTCAGAAAGGCATAAAATTCTAATTATCTTGTAATTTAATTTTATAATTATTACAATACACCAATTGCTATTAGTTTTGGGTTAATCTCGGCTTAAATGCAGTCAGAATTAACCCAATTTTGACTAATCGTGGATTTATGTAGAAATATTTATAAGATATAACAATAATGCGTATTTGGTTTGTTACAGGTGATAAAACTGCCGAAGAATATATAGACATCGTCATAAAGAAAGCCATAGAGCAAGTCCCTCATCCATTACATCTTCCAGATTTCGAAGGATGGGCAGAATATACGGAAGGTGTAGCATGGGGTTTGGATGAATTAGAAAGAGTTGGACCCACAAATGTAATTATCAACGAAAATTCCCACACGTTCGAAGGTCGTTTAGGTGTAGACGAAGTGGCAGGAAGATATAAATGGAGAAAACATATACTTCGTAAGATCAGATCGGGTTTCGCTTTCATCAAAGCAGCAAACTTTACAATCGACATTCGAGTTCGACAGGATCTCGAACCCGAAGCACACGCAGAATTAGAATACTTGAAAATAGTCAATATGGATGATATCGATGTAGAAATGACAGGCTTGAGCTATTTATCTTGGATTATATCCGGAATTGTAGATCCTCTAGCCAATAAATTTGAAGAACAGTTGGCGGGTTTCGTGGAAAAGAATTTAAGAGCGGCTTTAGAAAACGAATTCAAACACGTTCGCCTTCCTATATTAGAAGAATAGTAATTCACACGAGGAACATGCAATTTTTAAATAAAATGATTTATGATTAATTTGTGTCCTTTTTTAAAAATACAGTGGTACCTCAGGTTACGAACGCCCCAGCATACGAAATTTTCAGGATACGACATGAAATTCGAACATATTTTTGCTTCACGATACGAACAAAAACTCACCATACGACGTTACATTAGTTCGCATTTTTCATTTGTTTTTCTTACTACAGTTATTTTTTTAATGTATTACTTGGCTTTAATTTGAGTATGTTTTTCGCGTTAACACGAATTATTTGATTTTACATGTAATCGTATGGGAAAAAATGATCCACCTTACGACATTTTCATGATACGATCTCAGTTTCGGAACGGATTAATTTCGTATCCTGAGGTACCACTGTAGTTATACAGTGGCATATCGTACTTCAAACGACTCTAACTTCGAACACTTCAGAGTTCGTACGCAAAATTCGACAAAATTTACCTCGGAGTTCGAACTGCGCGGGTAGTAAAAAAATCTGCTCGAAGCATAAACATAATCTGTTATGTGTCCAACTCGTATCTCGCTTTTGCTCTTTCTATTCTTTCTTTTACCACTAACCACTTCATTCGTGTGTTAATAATTTGTATAATAATAAACATCTTTTTGGATATCCTGTATTTTGATTACTAAAATTATCTGATGGTAATACAAATATACTTCTAATATGCTAAAATAATTATCTAGTATTTCCTTTGGTGAAACACTTGTTTTTAACAAAAGCAAGAGATAATAAAGCCAAAATTTTATCTTTAAAAGAAAAAAATCAATGAATAAATAAATAAATCATCCAATTATAAAATAGAACAATTAACTTTTAGGACCGAATCCATTACAAGAACACAAAAATTCTAACTGCAATCAGTCAATGCAACTCCTTTCTACAAAATCATTCATATATTGTTCATTATTCACACACTCAGATATTCTATTTTAAACAAATTAGTTTACTTAAAGTTGCCGAATTCAAGATCAAATATTAAATTCTGTCGTAAGCTAAGTAATTCCAGTTTTAAAGACTATTCATAAAGATAAGCACGAATTGTCAGCAATCATAATAATTTTTGGAACTCAAACATAAAAATTTTTAATTTAAAATAATTATAAAAGAAAAAGCCTATTTTTATAAATAAAATAAACATTTTTTTAGAGAGATAACATCTCATCTTTAGATCCGAAGCTTACACTTCTACGTAAGAACTCTAAATTCATATATGGAGCCATTTATTAGTAGGGGAAGGTGGGGCAGGATGAGGACGTTAAGATTTGAAAAGTCATAAGATGGCAACCACTTGAATGAAAACAATAATTTTTTTATTCTCAGCAACTGCAACATTTGGTAATATATAATATAAAATTTAATTTTTGAAAAACGTTTTTAAAAACAAGAAAATTTAATATTTTAAAATTACAGTCGATTCCCCTATAACACTGTTGATAATTCCGTTTTATATGAATTCCATTGGAATTCATATAAAACGGAATTATCAGCAGTGTTATAGGGGGGTCGACTGTATATTAAAATGCACCATCTTGTCCCACCCGTGGATATTATTTTTATATACACGAAGGACATATTAAAATAGTTAAACTATCGTTTTATTCAATATTAGCACAAGAATAGTGTGCCTATTTATCGCAACGGATACATTTATTATTATTTTCCGAATAAATAAATATAAAAGTTTTGAACTTACTCGTATTTACTTTACCAGACGATACTGTGACGTCGCGCATGCTCAGTTAGGAACTAGCAGCAATGTTGCCACGTCGATTTGCTTGCCATCGATAGATTCCTTAAGCAATTTTCGGTAGATTTCGGTAAATCGACTTTTTGTGGCAAAAAGGAGGTTGCACATAAACAGTAACATTCTTTTTTGTCATTTATTTTATTATACACTATAAAACAATAAAAAACAAAAAACTAACACAGAACACTTATGTAAAAAAATAATTATTTACTAATTAAGTAGGTAAATTTTGTCTTATTTTTTAAACAAAATACAGTATTACCTTTTATTTTTCGGATATTAATAATAATTATTATTCAATATCTTCCGTTTGTATGTTTTTAACACTGTTATTTTTGAAATTAAATTAGCTTTTACAGGAAAATCGTAACAGTAATTTTTTCCAATTAATTGTTTAGTAAGTAGCAGCTCTGAAACAATTACTGGCTTACGCCAGTGATTGTTTCAGAGCTCAGTTTATTTCCGTGTTTCGTGTTTAACAGATTTATTTACGAAAATATTCTTTCTACATTAGCTGAAGAATGGGACAGACACGAGATATTCTCAACAAAACGAGATATAGTCTTTGCAATAAAGTCTCTTACAATATATAAGAAATGAAGGTACAAAGAAATGTTTTATTGAGAATTTTTAGATACATTGAAAATAAAAATTTGTTTCTTGAATTATCGTAAACTTTTCGGTAGATTTGGTGCTTCAATCGGTAGATCGGTAGGTCGGTCCCAAAATCGGTAGATCTACCGAAAATTCGGTAGACGTGGCAACATTGACTAGCAGATAAACTTGGCGTTGCCAGGGCACAAAATAACTATACCAAAAATTAAAATTAGAAGATTAGAAAAGCATAAAGTACTTTTAAAAGTCAAACATTATAATATAATAAACATTAAAACGAATCCATATAAACAATTTGGTTATTTAATATTTGAAAATTGATCCTCGTTAGAGAGGTTGTGATACCTCGCACCTGATCGAAATTGCTAATCTTAACGTTCGAAAGACTTCATATGACTTGTTTAAATAAAAAAGTCTTGTAAAAATGCTATAATAATTGCTTTTATGTGATAATAGTGTTTATGTTTTTGCAACAGATGGAAAAAAATACATGGGAAGTATATTCTCGTAAATATCGCATTTATAAAAAAATATTGGGTTGCAATTTGAAAAAATTGTAGCCTATAAATTCCGACTGTCGTCAGCTTGTGTGTTCCTTCATCTCGAGAAAAGATAGATAGATGAAATTCGAGACCAGACATGGAAAGCGTATGGTCAGAAAGATTCGGGTTAAGTATATACAAACTTCCGGTGTAAACCGAAAGTAATGCTACTGCAATTCAAAATTTTACCCTGAAAACAGTTAGATAGATAATCGGCACGACCCTATTGGTAAGAAAATTATGATGTATAGGGGCAAGACATACCTACAAGAATTGAAAACATCGTGACGAAAAATTGCAACCCGACATTGTGAAGATGTCACAATAAATAATTGTTCGTTAGAATTAGTTTAGTTTTTAAGGTTATGGCAACGTGACCCGTGAGCGATCTGCCGAGGGAAATGCATCCCGGAAAGACTTTTACGGGAACTAGGCCTCTATTTAGGTGTTACTAACGTCAAGAAAACGCGGAAAACTGCACGTGGCCCGCCCGTTGGACATGCCTGAACCCACGACACTATCTGTGTTCGGTGGCAGAGTTTTATCCATCTGACTACTGGAGGGCACTTATTAAGAAAGTATCGTTTGAAATGAAAAAATCCGAGTGGCAAGTGCTATATGCTACCTGTCGCAGTAATTAAGTAAATATAACATATATATTGTATTTAAAATTAAGTAAATTTAATGTATATATTTTATTTAAAATTACTGTATATCCTTTTTATAAAAATTATATTTAGTTTATAATTTTGTTAATTTTTTTCCAATGGATGGTGCTACGTGTAAATCAATAAATTAAACGTAAAAATAAATTGATTTACAGAAATTCAATAGATATTTTGGGGTGAGATATACGACATTATCTAAGTTAGAAGTATGTAAAATTCATATCTTGCAAATTAATTAAAACAAAATAAAAATACATTGTAAAAGTACTTGAAAGACAAGGAGCTATAAAAAACAGTGACGAATGCTCTCGACGTAATTTGAGAGATTTTCGAATGGCGGAGAGGCAGAGCGACCGCTATTAAATTAACGCACCAAACGTAATATTGTCAAAAGGGTAGCCATTGCTTTAGCACAGTAACATCGCGGGTAATTATTTTCAGGAGAAGTATCTCAAATATAACTCCTATTTATATTATTCATATTATGTATATGTTAAAATCGGCGATTTATTTTTACGTAAAATTTTCATTAAAATATAGAAATAGCGAAATTTGTATTGCTCAGAGAACAGTAGCCTAATTGTGCTAGGTGATTGTGACTCGCTGAAGAAGAGAGTCATTATTGAAAAGCCTCTCCTAAGAACTCTCGAAAACGCCCCGAAAAACATTTTAAAAAAATTACTTAGGCTAAATTTTATTATTGTGTTTTTATTAATAATTTAATCAAAAAATTACATTTAAACTCCGTTGTTATATAACTATTTTTATGTAATTTCATGAAAATACTGGTCGGACAGGTGTTGGAATGAAAAAACTCATCCATGAACAGTTTGAGGAGTATTACTCTAGGGAGATTTCCAGTGTGTTAATCCGAAAACAACACTCACTCATCAAAAATTTATCATCAGAATATTTTATTACATCTTTGTTATGGTACATATCTTTAATATTTTATTAACAAGCAACTACTGTAATTGGAAGCGCCTTTTGACGATAGACTTCGATCTTCCGATGATAAAATTCTTATGCTTCTATATTAATTTTAAGTAATAATGTAAACTTACTTATTGTGCAAGAATGATATTCTATTACATGGTACTAGACCTAATATCTGGCAAGATTGTGACGGAAGTGGCCCGGATTTCTGAATTTTCCAGTTTTCCGGGCACAGGCAAATATATACACGAGAAAGATAAACACTGGAAAGTAACGAACGAAACTGTGTTTATAACACCGTATGCTAACAGTCACGCTGGAATTGGTGTCTTGCGACATTTATGGGGCAGAAACCAAAACAATGACCACTTGGAAACCACAGTACGCCAAATTAAAGCTAGCCGGTTTTCTGGAATTCCGAATACATTTGGTCTGGTATTGTTTCTACTCTACAAAAAATACTTTTTTTCAAACTCAGTTCATGTTCTTTAAGAAAGTTTTAACTTATAAGTTTATCATTCAATATTTCTGAAATCACGATATTATTATATTAAAAATACAATAATATCAGATCGTGATTTCAGAAATATTACACAATTAAGAAATATTATAAACGCTCCCAATAAATAAGATCAAACCAGATGACGTCTCTGTTATTACGAACATAAATGGGCGATCTACGACAAAATTTACAGGTGATATTTTAGCGGTGCTATATAAGGTCACAGGTAACCCCGTTGCCGCTGCGGCTTCAGTACCTTCTTCGTTAACTTCGACGAATGCCTTGTGTAAAGCGGCAGACACGTAGAGATCTTTCTCGCCACCAATGCCCGATAAATCTGCACTACTGTTGAAAGCATCGACCATTCCTAATTGTATCAGAAGATCCTTCAGAGGAAGATTTTCTTCTAATTTGAATCTTGGAAGGTACAATAAAACTTTCTTTTTACTCATCATCCGAATTCCTTTATTTACACTTTCCAGTGAAATATCATTTTCGACATAGGGAAGTCCTTTTTTTTTTTCCTTTGGTAAAATAATTACAATACTGTATTCTTCTCCAGAATATGGAATTTCCAGAAATGAAGCATTTAATTCTACCGAAAACGTATGATTATAATGGTCCTTCTTAAACATCATTTCGACCATTTTTCGTTTCTTATTAATTGCATAGAAAGGTTTCTTTGACGTTTTATTCCTATTAAAAGGCGATCCCCACATTCCCTTAAAATAAATGGCATTGGCGAAAACTAGTCTCGTGTCGGCTTGGACGGAATCGGGAGGAAACAGATTCTTTATTTTCGACCGAGTGGCCTCGGTCAGACACTTTATTTTCGACCGAGTGGCTTCGGAACTTGTTAATTTCCGAACACGCCCTCTCGGACTCGTCACCAAAATTATACTTTTTGACGTCGACGGAATAATTCGATCTCAGTCCCTCCGCAAAATCCGGTAATATGTTATAAGACAAATCGGCAGCCAACAGGTTAACGATGTTAAAAACCAAGTCGTTCTTTTCTGAACGTATAGATTTAAATATAGCTCGAAACTGTTCGTGTATCTGTCGGTCGTCTTCCTTCAGACCGAGGACTTCTTCCATCTGTTTCTTCGTATTACCCTTTGTTCCTGCATAAAGCATAGACAGAGCTACGGTAATGCTTAACGGAGAAAAGAATATATTCTCTCTGCAATTTTCCTTCCTTTGTTCTAACAAAAGCTTACACCCCAGTGAATTCGATGAAATAACTGCTGCATCCATTGTTTCTGGAAAAAGAAAATACTTTAAAATGTCACTTCAATGAAAATATATTCATAAATGGAAATTTATGAATATATTTTCTTACGCTACCCCGACTTACGCGATTTTCAAATCTCGTCGATTCCACTTTTGTTTGAGCGCCACGCAACTCTTGATTACTCACTCTATTGTTCAGCTTACATGTTCGGATGTGTCTCGCGGAATCGACACATAAATAACACAAAATAAATTGTAGCTATTTCTGTGTTTGTTATATCTACGGAGACTTGAGGGACTCTATGTGGTGATTCCTTGTAACCGTGAACAAATCAAAAGACGAGATAAGATTAACGAGAAGATTTATTAGCTTACATACATCTGACTTGGATTTTACACAAATTGCGAAATTATACCCCGACTTACGCGGTTATCGCTCGGTCCCACCTATCGCGTAAGTTCGGGGTATTACTGTAAATATAATTTACTTGATATTAACTAATATCATACTAATTGTAATATCGTAACTAACTACTATTTGAACTGTTTGTTCAAATTTCGGGCATCGTAATTTCTTAATCGTAGACTATAGAAGGTCATATGTTTTATTGTTTATAATTTTTTAAAAATAATTTGATTTTTTTGTTTTTAGTAAATTATAATACATATTTTTAATTTGACGATATTGTTTGAAAGCAGTAGTTGTAGATAATTTTCTAAACTGATGTAATGCTTTGGTTTTTTTTCTTTTTTAAATTTATACACTCAAGATCATACCATGGGTTTTTTGGGCCTTGAAAATTCGAGTTTCTACTCTTTCGTGTTTTAATAAATTCTTTTATTGTATTTTCAAACTTAGTATATTTTGCAATACCCTCTGTAAAATCCTCAACCAATAAACAACTCATCCTATCACTAATTTGCATTTGAAAACATTGGTAGTAATAGTCGGTTATCTGATAATTAATTATTATATGATTACTATAGTAATAATCATTAGACCTGAAACAAGATCTAACTAGAAAATGATCCGATGAGTCGCAATTTAAGACTTGAATTTCTGAACATAAGTCTATCAAGAATTCCGAACAATTATCAAATCAATTGTTGAGCTACCAGAAGCAGTTACACAAGTAAAATCAGATGGATAATCCTTTTCAATTCTTCCATTAAGAATATATAGTTGAGCCTGCGTCGTTAGTTTTAGAAGACAATTTCCCATTTTATTCTGTTTAACATCCTTGGATTTACGAATGTTTTTGATTTTTGTGTTCTTTGTATTGCAGATTCATGGATTGTTCAATGCGGGCATTTAAGTCACCAATTATACATTAATTACATAAGGAAAGGTATTTTTCAAATTTTCATATTGACAAAATATTTCTTGTAATATTTGCTGCTGTTCTGGGGGAACATATGTCAATATTAGCACTAAAATTTTATTTTTCAAATTAGCTATTTCTAAATTGTTAGTTAATAGATGCACAATCATATAATTATTCCTTTTCTGAGTGAATATAATTTCTCCCATTTTTTTTTAATAAATAAATTTAGTCCACCAAAAGAACGACCCGGTCCTGATGGTTTTTGAATCAATTGCGTAACGATATAATAATTTTCACTGTATTTCATTTGTGAATCAGAAAATGAGGTCATCCAAGTTTCTGTAATGGCAAGTATATGTGAATTTTCCAATAAAAAGATAAATTCGCTGGTAAGAATTTTCCGCACAAGACCTTGACAGTTCCAATTAATACAGTAGAGCGTCGTTTATCCGAAAGCTGGTTATCCGAAACGTCCGTTATCCGAAAGCATTCCAGTCGGCAAGTTTAAATTTTCGCTAGTGCTGTGGCGCTGCAATCTTCGGCTATTTCTCGGGCTACTCAAATATTTTACGTTTTTGATACTAAATTAACATCTGAAGTATAATTTTTTATTGTTTTTATATTTTTCAATAAATTTATTTTGTTTGTACAAAATAAAAATAATAATTTTTAACGATACAATAGTCTTTGTTAGGCTTAACATCGACGAAAATTCAACGCGAAGCGACACGAAACGGAGAGAAATTTCAACATGGGATAAATTAATATATTTTTTCGTACATGATTCGTTATCCGAATCACTCCAGTCCCCAATTTATTCGGATAAACGACGCTCTACTGTAATTACAAAGTGGGACTCTTTTTGATTGTAGACTTTATAATGTAAACTTTCAGTTTTATTGTGTACATCGACGATTGTGGAACCACATCATATGGATCTTGAAGAGAATAATGTTGTTTGGCCATAAGTCATTGTGATTTAGTTTTAGATATAGTAAAAGGAGTAAAGGATTCAGTAAATACCAGCCCCTCTGACATAACTATAGGTCAAAGAATGTTGACCCAGTAATATCACCACGAAGTTTGACATCTTGACCTTCTTTCCTTAATTCATATAAAAAAGGAAGTGCCTGTACAGTAGAGCGTCGTTTATCCGAATCAATTAGGAACTGAGGTTGTTCGGATAACCAATTATATATGAAAAAATATATTAATCTATCTCATGTTGAAATTTTTCTCCGTTGCGTATCGCTTCGCGTTGAATTTTCGTCTATGTTAAGTCTAACGTAAACTTTTTAAAATAATAATCGTGGCTATTGTATCGTTAAAAATTATTTCTTTATTTTTTAAAAACAAAATAAATATATTGAAAAATATAAAAACCCAAAACAATATACTTTAGAAGTTGATCTAGTATCAAAAACGTTCAATTCAGAACAACACACAGTCCTCAGAAAAACACTACACAAAAGTGCCAGTGCTGCCAGCTAAAATATACACACCAACAAAAGAATATTCGAGTAGCCCAACATATAGCCAAAGATTGCAGCGCCACAGCACTAGTGAAAATTTAAATTTGAAACTGGAATGCTTTCAGTTAACCGACGTTTCGGATAAACGACGCTCTACTGTAGTTGTTTGCAAAGTAATCTGGATCTCTTAGTAAGGTCCTGTGAAATTTGAGTATCTTTCCATTCATTCGATAAGTTTTGCTGTTTCATTTTAATAAAACTTGAATATATGTAATCTTGTATCTTAGTATTTTTAAAGATTAACTTAATAGTAGGATATTCTGATTTACTTATCGGTATTACTGCTATAAATTCATCCATTGTAACTTCTTGTAGTTTTAATGTTAAATTAACCAAATTATAAATTTCTAATTTGGTAGGACTTGTTTTGCTGGGGTATCTATATAATATTATATTATTACATTGTTGTTCATTTGCCAAATGATCCATTGGATATTGCATATTTTCATTTTCCATCTTCAGATTAACGATTTGTTGTTCAAGGTTATTAATTTGACAGTTAATTTTTTTTGTTTTGTTCTTTGGTTTCTTGGACACTATTATGGATCAGATCCAGTTCTTCTTTGATAAATGTCATTTGATTAAGTATTTTTGTATTAGACGTGTTAATTAATTCAGAAATTTTACTCCATAATGCTGTAGTTGATATATCAGATGAACTTTTCAGATTATCTGATGGAGAAGATAAAGATTCAATTGTCTCACCTGAAAGTTGTGAACTTTGAAGTGTTGTTTCAGGGTTCAGTCCAGCATCTGCAGATGATGATTCAGGGAAGGTCTTTTCGGCAAATGTACATATTCTGTTATTAGTCTAACATTACATGACGATGAAGCCTCCTTTCTACTATCTGATTTGGTCCGGTGACTTGGTGGTCTTCCTCTTTTTGTTGGAGAACATTGCATCTTAGTTATTGTTGTTAACTCTTCTAATAAGTTTAACTATTTTTTCTAACTCTAGCAAACAACACAAGCAAATAAACTGATAAACAATTTTAGTTATCAATATTCAGTATTTCCAATAAAACAAAGTATGCACAAAATCACGCCAGTAGCTCCGACTGACAGGTGCGCCCCTTTGTAATTGAATTTTGTAAAATTTACAATAAAACACGACAAATTATTTGTAATCTTAATTTATTCAACAATAAAAATTATTTATATCCTTAAATATCAACAACTCATAGCCCGAGTAGTAAATACATCACCAAACGATCGCCTAAATATCGGGCTATAATATGGCTAATTATATTATGGCTATTTATATCCTGTAATCTAAATTTAATAATTTCAGTATTGATAAATAATTCCATTTCACTCGAAAAATTAATTTTGTGATTAGAGTGGCCCAAACCACTACTCCTTGTAATTTACTGCAAATCAAACATTTCTTCTTAATCTATATCATTTTACTGCAAGTCCTTTCCTCAAATATAGAAAGGAAAAAAGTTTCTGTTTTAGAAGCAAACAAATTATTAGAATGCTCAGTTTGAATAGATGTATCAAATCTTTTGATGGCTAAATTATCCTTCTCTTCTCCAACTTTTTCCTGAAGAAAACTTAAAACACAACCAAGATCAGTATGATGAGTTTGTGGACATAACTTGGTTACTTCAAGAAGAATGATCTTCATGACATATTTCTTCTGTAGACCTATGACTAGCTGACCAAAATCTTTCTCAAGCATTAACTCTTTGGTTCCCTTCCTCACAGCTTGAGATAAATAGGTAAATTTATCATGATTTTCTAAATTTGGTTCTCCATCAATTTTCTGAAATTGTCTCCAGAATCCTAGTCATTTCTTCACACCACCATTTAATGTGGGTAATTTAATCTTCAGATAACAAATTTTGTGAAAGTGATGCACTATTTGCCCGTCATAATATAAAAACAGGATTAAATAGAACAGAATTCTCTATTTAAGTCTCCAAATTTTTTAAAAATATTTTAAAATATACGGTCAGCTAATATTCACCCTACTTTAAACCCTTGTCCTCCCGCGACGTCTATGAGAATAGACGTCGCAGGAGGACAAGGGAAATCTAAACCCGGAAAATCCAAACCCAATGTTCTCAAGGTTACCCAGCTGTGTAAACAATGACTCATCGGTGTTAAATTTCACAGAAGGGCGAGACAAAGCTTTTTATTCAAAATTAACGCATTTCTTTCGTTTTT